GTAATGACGGCCGTCTATCTCCTCAATCGATCACCAACCCGAAGCCTCGACGGGAAGACGCCATATGAGGCCTGGTACAATAAAAAGCCAGCTGTACATCATCTCCACGTGTTCGACTGCATCGCATACATGAAGGTAACGCGTCCCCACCTCGCCAAGCTCGATCCAGGGGGCTAAAGGTCATCTTCATCGGCTATGAACCCGAGAGCAAGGCGTACAGACTCTATGATCCTGTAGGGGGCGAGCTCACGTATCTCAAGATGTCATCTTCGATGAAGGCACTTCTGGCAGTGGAACGACGTGCTCGAGGTAGACCACAACTCAAATCAATTCATGGTGGAGTACCTCGTCACTGAGCCGGAAGAAGGAGGAGCCTAGCATCAGAAACCGTCACCGCCGCCAGTAGGTGCACCCCCTGAACCAGTGGAGTTCGCAACACCATGGACTGCGGATTCGACGTTGGATGTAGATCACGATGATGATCTGGTGGCTAGGTACTAGAGGATGGACGACCTAGTGGGAGAAGGTGATCCACCTAGACTGGCAGCGCGCGAGCTCAAAGAAGTGACCGAACTGCATGCCATAAGTGCAGATGAACCGAACACCTTGGCCGAAGCAAAAAGAAACCTGTGCTAGCTGAAGGCAATGTAGGAGGAGATGACATCCATCACCGAGAACCAGACGTGGAGTCTGGAGGATATGCCGCCGGGACACCGAGCCATAGGGCTCAAATGGGTCTTCAAACTGAAGTGCAACGAAAAAGGAGAAGTTGTGAAGCACAAGGCTCGTCTAGTGGCGAAGGGCTACGTCTAGAAGCAAAGAGTGGACTTCGAAGAGGTATTTGTGCCGGTGGCAAAGTTAGAATCCGTTCGTCTTTTGCTGGCAATTGTGGCACATTACTCTTGGGAGGTTCACCATATGGACGTGAAGTCCGCTTTCCTTAACAGAGAGCTAAATGAGACTGTCTACGTCCAACAACCACCTGGCTTCCTAGACAACGACAACCCCGGTAAGGTACTGCGCCTGCAGAAGGCACTCTACGGGCTTCGACAAGCCCCACGAGACTGGAATGCAAAGCTCGACAGTACCCTACTATCACTAAAATTCAAGCGTTGTGCCTCTCAGCATGGCATGTACACGCACGACCATGGCAAGCATCGACTGATCTTGGGAGTGTACGTCGACAACCTCATAATCACTGGAGGCGACGTGGAAGTCCTCGAAAGGTTCAAGAATGAGATGTCAAAGAACTTCGAGATGAGCGATCTCGGCGTGCTCAGCTACTACCTCGGCATCGAAGTGCAACAGAATTCTACCGGCATCTCCATCTGCTAAAGTGCGTACGCGAAGAAGCTACTGGACACAACTAGGCTCGTGACAGTAATCCTACAAGGACGCCAATGGAGGCCTGACTCCAACTAAGGAAGGCCGACATTACGACGACAGTCGACTCCACCAATTACCGCAGCATTGTCGGGAGTCTGCGCTATCTGGTAAACACTCGTCCTGATCTTGCTTATTCTGTTGGATATGTGAGTAGGTTTATGGAAGCACCTAGGGAGAAGCATCTAGTGGGTGTCAAGCGCATCCTGCGCTATGTAGCCGAAACCAGAGGCTGGAGTGTAAGATACTGCGCAAGGAGAGGAAAGGAGAAACTCAAGCTGGTCGGCTACAGTGATAGTGACATGGCCGGTGACGTTGAAGATCGTAAGAGCACCAGCAGAATGATCTACTTCCTCTCAGGCGGCGCGATCTACTGGCAATCAACAAAACAGAAGGTAGTTGCTTTGTCTTCCTGCGAAGCAGAATACATCGCCGCTTCGATGGCAGCAACACAGGGGGTCTGGCTTGCGCAACTAATGGAAGAACTCATCGAGAGAGAAAGCGATCCATCAATGCTATACGTGGACAACAAAGCTACGATCTCCTTGATCAAAAATCCAGTTTTGCACAACCGGAGCAAGCACATAGAAATCAGATTCCACTACATTCAAGAATGTGCAGATCGAGGGCTCATCAAGATTGATTTCATCCGAACAGAGGAACAACTTAGAGACATTTTCACCAAGTCCCTGGCGCGAGTAAAATTTGAAGAACTACACTCAAAGATCAGAGTTCAAATAATAAGATAGATATAGCACAGCTTTTAGAAGGAGATTATTAAATAAAAGCTATGGTCCTCCTTAAATTTAGTTGTTTTGACCTTTCAAAGTTTTGAATTCACGCTAATGAAAAAGCGTAAATTCAGCCGGCCATTTTTGGCTAACTTTGGGCGAAGTTTTAGCCCACTTTTTTCTATTTTTGTAATTATGTTTGTTATTTAAAGAATTCAACTGATGAGAAATAAAACATCGAGTCTTCAGCAAATCTCTCCCTCACTCCTTTTACTTCCGCTATTTTTTCTTTCGAAGAAACCTTTCTTCGGCCAGTTTTTCGTCGACGTTTTCCTCCGAATTGCCAGAGTCAACAGAAATTATAGCCCTAGAGCAAAATCAAACTTGGGAACTAATACCAAGACTAGAATATGCCAAATCCATCTCTTGCAAGTGAACTTACAAAATAATGTGTCTCTCGGATGGATCAATAGAAAGATACAAGACTCAATATGTAGCTCGAGGGTTCTCTAAAGAATATGGACTAGACTATGATGAAACGTTTGGTCCAGTGGTGAAGATAACTATCATACAGGTTCCTCTAGTACTTGTGGTAAATAAAGATTGAAAATTATGGCATATGAATATGAAGAATGCTTTCTTGAACGGTGAGTTAAATAGGGAGTTCTACATGAACCAACTGAAGAAATTTGAAAATGAAGTTGGAGTTATGTCAGTACATGCGAAGTCTGAAGAAGCCTCCTTTGGATGTGGCTCAATGGATCTTGAGATATGTCAAACAATATCGGATACTCGTAGGTCAAGCACCGGGTATGTGTTCAAGCTCAGTTCGAGACAATTTTTTGGTGTAGCAAAAGACAACCAACAGTATCATTGTCTATTTGAGAAGTAGAGTACAAAGCAGTGACTGGAGCAGCTTAGGAAAGTATGTTGCTGAAACTTTTGATTGAAGATTGGCACCAGAAAATTGACTATCCAATACCACTTCATTGCGACAACCAATCTGCGATTTGCCTAGCAGAAAATTCAGTGTTTCATGCTAGAACAAAGTATGTGGAGGTACACTACCATTTCATTAAAGAAAAAGTCCTGAAAGAATAAATCGAGACGCAGCAGATCAAGACAGATGACCAAATGACAGACTTGTTTACAAAAGGGCTGAACACTGGCAAACATGAGAGTTTTCACGGTTAGCTCAACATGGTGCAATGAATGAGAACTAGTGCTGAGGGGTAGTGTTAAAATATCATCACTAGCCCAATAAAGTTAAACTCAACCTTGTCCGTTAGGAAATTGATTTAGAAATTTTAGGAATAAATTTAGGAAAATAATTTAGGAATTTTAAGAATAAAGTTAGTAAAATGATTTAGATACTTTAGTAAAAACCTTGAAAATTTTAGGAATAAATTGTCTATCATACAAATACTCCTCCACCCTACTTAGTTTATCATCCCAATAAATCTCAAGTAATACGTATTCTCTTCTCGATTGGTGTTAATAAAGAGTGCGAGTGTTTTCCACAGAGTTATGTTCAATAATGATATGTGTTGTAACCCTGATATTTATACTAGAATTGTGTTGGTTTATGGTAATATGTATGTAAATTATGTCAGGATTATGAGATGTCAGTCTTTAAGGTTAGATTATGAAAACATGTTAGCAATAAGAGAAATGATAATATTCCAAGAGGAAATTGTTACAAAAATTATATTATGAGTTGAATTGTACCTTCCTATTTGATAGGGCCTTATGGCCTCATGCATATGTATGTCCACTGGAAATAAATTTTACAAATCATGGTGATATGCCTAGATGATATGCTCCCCAATATTTTCGTCACTATATTATCACAACTATAATCCACAAACTCGGCGATATGTCCAACTTTATTTTAAGTGGCAATATGGTCAAGATATGATGATATGGCCAATAGAAGTAAGTTATGAAGGATAGGTCCTAACATATAAGCAATTTGTTTACATTTTCTGACCCAATAGTCTTGATGTTTAATAATATTCAAATTCTTTTAAAAATATTTTATTTTCAAATAAGAACAAGGACAGACAAGGAGAATGATGGCGTCTAGCGTAGAACCATAGGGTTCGAATACATTTATCTTTCGTTACACTCATTAATCATTCTAAATGCAAAAATTTATATTTTCTTTGTTTTAAATAGGTTGACTTGTGAGGATCCCAAATAAAATATTTGAATTGTCTATTTTATTATATTTCTAACAAAATATTAGTCTTATGTTTGAATGATCTGGGTTTTAGTATTAAATTTTCTACGGTAGATTGGACCCTAAAATATCCCACCTATGATTTGAAATTTATTTTGGACCCTAAAATATTGAGATCCTTGAGGCAAAGGTTGAGGGAGCAAAGGTTAGAATGATAGAACAGAATATACAACAAGAGACTTTGGAGCCTCATCGAATCCGGAGTTTGAAAATGCACCAATGATAACTAATGTAGAGATACTCCCTACTAATGTTATTCATTTAATAGATGACAGGGAAAGAGCAATCATAACAAATGCACACCCAATTATGGAAGAGCTAAATTTGTGCATTATCAGACCGGAATGCAAGCTACTACTTTTAAGCTAAAGCTTGTGATGTTTCAAATGCTACAAACCATTGGGAAATTTCATGGACTACCGTCAAAAGATTCCCACCTACATCTAAAGTCAATTTATGGAGTTAGTGACTTGTTCAAATTTCAAGGAGTCGATAAAGACGTGATTAGACCGAGCTTATTCCCTTATTCTTTTAGGAATGATGTTAAATCATGATTGAGTATCTTAACACCGAGAGCAATTGATTCTTCAAATTTTCTAGGAGATAAATTTTTATCAAGTATTTTCCACCCACAAGAAATTTACGGTTGATAAATGAAGCTATTGCTTTTCAGCAATTTGATGATGAAACGTTAAATGAAGCTTGGGATAGGTTCAAGAAGATGCTTAGAAAGTGTCCTCACCATGAACTACCCATTGTATTCAAATGGAAACTTTCTACAATGAACTGAATATTGCCATTAAACAAGTGGTAGATGCTTCCGCTAATGGAGCTATCTTGTCAAAGACGTCCAGTGAAGCTTATGAGATACTAGAAAGAATAGCATCGAACAAATTCTCAATGGGCTGATGTGAAAAGGAATCTAGGAAAGAAGACCCAAGGAGTACTTGAAGTTGATATTTTGACATCTATCAACGCTCAATTATCTTTAGTGACTAATATTCTATAGGCTCTAGCACTGGGACAAGACTCAATGACTAAAACATCAATCCAAGCGACAACTGTAAACGCGTAGTTGAATCTTGTGTATTGTGGAGAAAAACATCGTTTTGACCATTGTCCAATTAATCCATCTTTTGTTTTTTAGGTGGGAAATCAAGTTAATCAAGGAAAGAAGAAAAGAACCCATTCTCAAACCCTTATAACCTCGTATGGAGAAACCATCCAAACTTCTCATGGACGGAACAAAACTCGTACAGTTAATAAATGTCACCTAAGGCAAATTACCCTCCATATTTTGGACTACAAAATTAAATGGCATATGGTCATCAACAAGCCAATACCAAAGCAAAAGAAACTAGTCAAGCTTAGCACATAAAAGGGTCATCTCTTGAGAGTTTAATGAAGGAATATATGGTCAAGAACGATGTTGTAATACATAGTCAACAAGCATCTTTACGAAATATGGAAGTTCAATTAGGTCAATTAACTATCGAGTTAAGAAATAGACCTCTTTGAAAACTACCAGCAGATACCAAAATGTCAAAAAGAGAGGTAAGAAACAATGTCAAGAAATATAATTGAGAAATGTGAAAAAAAAAATCCCTAACATGGGAGGTGAAATTAAACAAAATAGCAACCGTCACTCCCAAGAGACAGCTGATATACAATCTAGAGAGGAGAAAAATGTTCAATAGGAGTAGAGGAAAAATTATGCAGAAGCAGTAAAATTATGCAAAAGCAGAAAAATCTCTGAAAACGTAAGTAGCATACAGTAATCGAGAAGTGAGCAAAGTGTATACCCCAATACCTCATTTCCAACCGAGAATAAAAGGGAAGAAGGAGGAAGCCTACGTCGAGAAGTTCGTGGATATCTTTTAAGGAAATTCATATAAATTTACCACTAGCACAATTATGTCAAATTCTTAAAGGATACTCTCACCCACCGAAGAAAATTTAATGAATTCAAGGTGGTAGAGTGGAATGGAGAGTGTAGTGAAATATTAAAAAAAAAAAAAACAAAATCTCTTTAAATGAGAAAGTCCCTGGCTCATTCATAATTCCTATATGAATGGGAGGGAAGGAGATAGGCCGAACATTATGTGACTTGAGATCAAACATTAATCTAATGTCTCTATCTATTTACAAAAAGTTAGGTATTGGTGACCTAGATAAACTACAAACCACCCTTCAATTAGAAGATCAATCTTTCACTCATCTAGAAGGTAAGATCGAAGATATCTTAATTCAAGTATACAAGTTCATATTTCCAGCAGATTTTGTCATTTTTTATTATGAAACGAACCATGGTATACCAATTATTTTGGGGAGACCATTTTTAGAAATGGGAAGAAGATTGGAAGATGTTCACCAACTCTAATGTTGAGAATGAATGATCAATAAATAGAATTTAATGACAGCAACCAACCTTAGACCATTTTCCCAACAAGAAAAAAATAACTAAGAGCTTTCACACGTCAAACTACTTCCAAGAATGATTCCACACCCACTTAAATGTTCAGTGAGGGCAATAACTAGTTTAAGTTTGAGAGTACTTAAAACAATTCTATCACCTCATACATATTGGAAAAAAATAAATAAATATCCAAACTTGAGACCACTCTATCTTAAACCAAAAGCTTGTTGAAGCTAATAATAGAGTAGAGTTTGAATGAGTTTGAATGGGTTGAATGAGTTACTGCTCAAGAGAAGGAGGAGGTGGATTCAATTTCGTCCACACAAATCTCAACCAACTCCAGGAATCCCCCAATAAAAGGACCTCCCTCCCCGTCATTCAAATCACTCCTCCTCTCAATCTCACTTCAGTTTTCTGTTGTCACCAACAACTGGTATCAGAGCAATCTTGCAGCAGCAAAAAAATGACAGCAGAAAAACAAGTTGAGAGCTACGTTCAGCCCTCCATCCCGAGGTTCGATGGTCACTATGATCATTGGGCAATGTTGATGGAAAATTTTCTCAGATCAAAGGAGTTCTTTGATATGGTGGAGACGGGTTATGAAGAGCCAAATGAAGGCGAGGTACTCTCAGCTGGTCAACAGCAACTGTTGGCAGCATCGAAGCTGAAGGACCTGAAGGTCAAGAACTATTTATTTCAGTCCATTGACAGGACTATCTTGGAAACAATGCTTCAGAAGAAGACATCCAAGGAAATTTGGGATTCTATGAGGAGGAAGTATCAAGGCTCAACGAGAGTAAAACGTGCTCAACTACAAGCCGTCAGAAGAGACTTTGAAATTCTCCAAATGCAAAAGGGAGAAATGGTGAATGATTATATTGGCAAGGTTATAAGTCTTGCAAGTAAAATGAGGATGCATGGTGGTTCAATCACGGAGGTTGCGGTCGTAGAAAAGATTTTGCGATCACTAACTCCAAAGTTCGATTACATTGTATGTTCTATCGAAGAAGCAAACAATGTCGAAGAGATGCAAATAGATGAACTCCAAAGCTCCCTGTTAGTACATGAGCAGAGGCTCAATCGTACAAGTGCAATAGAGGAGATGACAGCCTTAAAAATATCCACACCAGGTGAATCTTCAAGCCCTAGAGGTAGAGGGCAAAGAAGAGGCAGAGGTCGTGGGAGAGGCAGTCGAGAAAGAAGTGGAGATGTTGGCAGGTCAGTAGACCTAGCCAGAAATGATTATGAAAACAAAGGCAAGAGACACTTTGACAAGTCCAAGGTGGAATGCTACAGATGTGGACGCCTTGGACATTACAAAAATGAATGCTATACCAGGCTTCAAAAGGAGAAAAGAGATCAATCCAATTTTGTGGAGAGAAGAAGAAGAAACATTATTAATGTCATTCCATGCTATGAAGGTTGCAGATCAAGGTGTATGGGTCGTAGACTCTGGATGCAGCAATCATATGACAGGTTGTAAGGAATTCTTCTCAACTCTAGATGAAAATTTTCATACTACGGTTTCTCTTGGCAACAATTCAACTCTCCAAGTGATGGGGAAAGGAACCGTAGATATCAAGACTAGAAATGGCTTTGTAGAGTCTATTTCTAATGTATTCTACATCCCTGATCTGAAAGCCAACTTACTTAGTATCGGTCAGTTACAAGAAAAGGGGTATGTGATCACATTCCAAAATGATGAATGTGAAATTTATGACTCCAAAAGAGGATCGATTGCTAAGATGAAGATGACCACCAACCGTCTATATCCGTTGACGTTAAATATCGTTGCCAAAAGTTTGATGGTGAAGAAAGAAGATACCACCTGGCTTTGGCATTTTAGGTATGGTCATCTACACTTCAAAGGATTAAAGACGTTGTCCTCAAAGAAGATGGTAACTGGGTTGCCAGATATTACTCCACCAACGGAAATTTGCGAGAGCTGTGTAGTAGCAAAACATGAAAGAAACTCTTTTCCATCTGGAAAATCAAGAAGAGCTCAAGCAATTTTGGAGTTGATTCATTCGGACATATGTGGTCCCATCTCTCCAGCATCAAATGGTAACAAGAAATATTTCATGACCCTCATCGATGATTTTAGTCGAAAAACATGGACTTATTTCTTGCACGCCAAATCAGAAGCCTTTGATTGCTTCAAAAGGTTTTGTGCTACTATGAAGACGGAAACTGGAAGAAGAGTCAAGGCTTTAAGAACTGACAGAGGTGGAGAATTCTGCTCGAACGAGTTTATTCAATTTTGTGAAGAAAAGGGCATACGGAGGCAGTTAACAACAGCATATACACCACAACAAAATGGTGTGGCCGAAAGGAAAAACAGGACCATTCTCAACATGGTTCGAAGTTTACTAAATAAAGGAGAAGTCCCGAAAGAATTCTGGCCAGAAGCTGTCGTGTGGTCCATTCACATTCTCAACTGGAGTCCTACCTTTTCTGTTAGAGATATGACTCCACAAGAAGCATGGAGTGGAAGAAAACCTGCAGTAGACCACTTTAGAATCTTTGGGTGCATAGCATATGCACACGTTCCTGATGAGAAAAGGAAGAAACTTGAAGACAAGAGTTTGAAGTGTGTGTTCCTTGGAGTAAGCGAGACCTCTAAGGCGTACAAGCTCTATGATCCTTTGACAAAGAAGGTGGTGATAAGTCGTGATGTAGTCTTTGATGAAAAAAAGACTTGGACATGGGAAGAAAAGATCACTGTGAATCAGCAGATTCCTGTAGATCTTGAAGAAGGACAAACTGAAGCCCCGATTCAGCCTCACTTTGAGCATGGAGAGAGCTCATCACAAGCTCAACAAGAAGAACCAGTAGAAGAAGATCATGATCATAATCAAAGACATCCAAGAACAAGAAAGAGACCAAACTGGATGATTGATTATGAGATGGACTATGAATCAAGTGATAGTGGTTATTTTGCATTCTTTATGGATAGTGATCCAATTGTCTATGAAGAAGCAGTAAAGGAGAAGAAATGGAAGGAAGCTATGGATAGTGAAATCAAATCCATAGAGAAGAACAAGACGTGGGAGCTCACTGATCTTCCTAGAGGGCAGAAAACAATCGGAGTAAAATGGGTTTTCAAAACCAAGTTGAATGAAAACGGTGAGGTGGATAAGTACAAGGCGCGACTTGTTGCAAAAGGATACAAGCAAAAGTATGGAATTGATTATAAGGAGGTATTTGCACCAGTGGCACGTCAAGACACTATCAGGCTCATAATTTCTATTGCAGCACAGAAATCTTGGCCTATATATCAACTTGATGTGAAATCGGCCTTCTTACATGGAGAGCTTCAAGAAGAAGTATATGT